CATGAGGTTCCATGGGATTCCATGAGGTTCCATGGGATTCCATGAGGTTCCATGAGGTTCCATGAGGTTCCATGAGGTTCCATGAGGTTCCATGAGGTGTGACTGGGTGGATTATTATTGGCTGCAAGCCATGTCAGGATGACACTTAGATACCGTACGTAGTAATTGATTTAGACTCCCAGCGAGTCCGAAAACCACAACTCGTAAAAACGACAAGACATAAAGAAGGGATCAAGTGTGGGAATACCACAAAAGATCAGTGAGGAGTGAGTTGAGGAAAGAATTGCTGAGGTGAATTGAAGGAGTGGATTGAGTTTTGAATTGCAAGCATGAGTTATCTGAGCAGGAGGGCAGGCTGCCTTTATAGACAGACTGCTAGCTCCTGGAATGTTCTAGATACATTGGCATTTGTAATCATTTGTAATCATTTGTCAGCAACCAGAAGATTCTGTGTTGTTCCATGGGATTCCATGATGTTCCATGAGGTTCCATGGGATTCCATGATGTTCCATGGGATTCCATGAGGTTCCATGAGGTTCCATGAGGTGTGACTAGGTGGATTTTTATTGGCTGCAAGCCATGTCAGGATGACATCTAGGGCGCACTGCACGCAGATGTCCAGGTCGCTGGGGCGCTCACCACCAGCGTGCGGGTTGGCAGAAGAATCATCCTTGGGCTCCTCCTCCTCAGCAGCGACGGAGGAATCTTGAACAGCACCCTGGTAGGAGCGCGGTGGGGGAGCGGGACGGCTACCGTGAGAGTCAATATGAGAGTTAAAGGTAGCAAAAAAGGACAGAGAAGCAAACTAGCCAACAAGCTGCCGAGAGGGTAGGTAGTAATACTTACAGCATTGTCAGCAGCCAGACGCTTCTTAGTGAGCATAGCAATACGCTCATGGAGGCGCGCAAGCTCCTCTTCATCAGCACCAGGAGGCAAACCAGTGGAGTAGGCGCTAGCATGAGTGTGCCTGGGAGTGCGGGAGTTGCCGGCCATGTGGTGGGAGTGGGGATAGCACGAGGTAGGGTTGTGGGTAGTGCAGCAGGTGCAACCGGTGTAGTGGTTGTTTGTTGTGGAATGGTCTTACAGTGTGGACGGGTAAACAAACAAACATGGGGTAAGAGAGGGGGGGGGAGCTTATGTAATGGGCTGTGCCTGGTTAGCGCCTTGGCTAGCGCAAGCCTTGGAGCTTTGTACAGCCGGCAAACCTCATCAAATCTTGCAACCTCCAGCGTTGCTTTACCCACCTCTGTGGCGTCCTTGGCTGCTGCCCTTGCCTCCTCTGCCGTGTTGCCATTCTGCTGTATGTTCGCTGCAGACTGTTGAACAAGTTGTACTGTGGACTTGAGCTCTTGCTTTATCTGGTCAAGAGTCTGCACTGTGCTTTCTGCTGTTGCTCTGGCCTCAGTTTGCACAACGTTGAGGACGTTGCTGAGGCTGCTAAGGTTGGGGGAGTGCTGCGTCTTCAGTACAAACGTCAATGCGCTGCAAATGATGTTGCCAACGATGTCTGCCGGCAGAGGCTGTTGGCCTCCGTTACGCTCAATCAGCAACAGCACCTCGCAAAGGAAAGCGCTGAGGTTGGTAGCATGCTCGTCTATTGGGATTGGCCAGGTTGACCATCGAGGCCACGGTGTTGCCATGATGCCTCAGCAGCAGTGGGCGCTACTTCTGAGTGCTGGCTAGTCAAAAGCCGTCTCTAGTGGACGTTTTGCACGCGTTGAACTACGTTAATTCCAAAAAGTGAAATTCTCGCTGTTGTTGTGTTTTTCTTCCAGAAGCATGCGCCACACCTTGATTCGATCAAGCTTAGACAAGGACGGGTGGCTCGTACAATACGGTATGCCAAGATATAATGTAAGCGCGCTAAAAATTGGCAGCCAAGGCTCGTTCTCGGACAAATCCGGAATACACTTCTTGAAGCTCAAGTATCCATACAATTTTCGGGATATATTCTTCTATAGTCATTCTACTCAGCTCATATCCCGATATGTGTATCACGTTCAGCTATAGTGTTAATACTGGCGTGTAAAGGTAATGCAGCTTCTAGAGGTTGGAACACCACGAGCGACAGCACGGCTGAACACATGTATCTTTTCGCTGCAAGCGCTTATACGATAGAGAAAAGCCCATAGGATGATTGTAAAGTATTCCAGATCTATGGAAGCAACATAGGAATATCCAAGATGTTGAACGTGTGAAGTACTTGCGGCACAAGGGTGTTTGCGTGACCCATAGATGTACGTTAACATTGCTGACTTTGATATCGACATGAGTTTCACTTTCATCACTTCTCTTCACTCTGTCACAGTCAGCTTGGCTTGTTTTAAAGCCTTCCGTTATCATACCGCTTCGTCATCGTCAAGCGCTTTCGCGTCCCCGTCTCACCATCACTGCTATCCCAAGTAAACTTGCTGACTAACTCTGGACGCTTGATCGGTGTGGTCATTGTAGCACCGCTATCAACTCGATGGAGAGGTGCCGTTTGTCGAACTCAATCGTCGATCCATGTATGTTGGACAGGCTCACCATACCGGAGGGCAGGCAACTTCGGCACGTACGCCTCACTTTGGGCTCCTTGATACAGGCGAATGTACTCATACATCATCGCCTTAGGGGCGGGTAAACCGTCGACGTCGCTGAGCTCACAAAAGTAAACCTTGTCGGCGTGGCGGTGCATGGCAAGCCTAAAATCATCGTCAAGGAGGTTGAGATCAGCTTGGAGTGCCTTGCGCACGGCATGCTTCACCTCGGATATACGCTGCCGCTCAGAGTTTCGGATGGTGTGGGCCTGCTTAAGCCCATGCCATACATGTCCGCCCCGCATATAGCCGCGATGTGCGAAGTGCGGCTCCAACATCTCGCGAGCGCGCTGCATCTTCTGGCACCGAACAAGGGTTTAGTACTCGTCGGATTGAATGCTGCTGCGGTTGAAGTCCCTAGACAAACGCACTTGCGATTAAGGGCCTTCAAACGACATATCTTCGCCAGAGGGGGCAGGGACGCGCGGAGGCATCAATGGCGTCTTGACTGGCTTCTTGATATACTTTGCCTGCGGATGCATATAAACTCGGACTGTTCGATCTTCTGGGTTGCCATCAGAGCTGTATCCGGAATCAAAGAAGAGGTCGGATTTCGCTGAGCGAGATTGCATATGAGACGAGATCTGCTGGCGACATACTGGGCGACCGGTCCGTGTAGTATCCTCACGGCGGTGCACTTCAGTTGACACTCGATCCTGCTTTAAAGAACGAGTGCGAACATAGGTCTCCAGTTCCGACCGTCGCTTGCCGACCATCGGTGGGTACATAGAAAACTTGATGATGGGATTGTTTGGATCATCATCTTCGCTCGCACGACCTGACTCCTTGAAGTGAGCTGAGCGTGTCCGGCTCCGCTGCTGGTCAGTCGGCCGACGTGACGGTGTAGTGCAGAATCCACAGCATGCAGCTGAATGTGAAGTCGACTTCACAGACTGCGGACGGGCACGAGACGGATCACAACCGCCCTTTCCAGTCCGTGGATGCATGGAAGCATTGACGACCTCCTCGTCATCTGTGGCCTTGCGAGACTTCATCATGTTCAGAAGGGACGGCATCTTAAAGGCCTGCTTAAGATGCGAAGAACACTAGTATGGTGGTTGAGCCCCGGTCAGGATGGTATGCACTTCTAGCCATGATCGGCAAGCTTTTATATAACAGGTAGTGCATTGTGAACGGAGAAGCGTTTGCTAACGATGTTTGTGAATCTTGAACAAAGGAAATGGCTGAAGAGCTAGACTACCTGACTACGACGACAGCGATGAACACTGCACTATGAACTACACGGCGATCTTTGGCTACTCTGCGGGCTTTTTACCTAGGTGCAACTTTTGCAACATCTTCTTCACCCTCTCACTTACATCAGCTACACTCTGCGATCTCCTATGTTGATCTTTCTTTAGCTTGTTCCGCTGCTTCTTCACCTCCCCATCTCCCCCATCCACAGCCGGCTTACCAGTGCTCAAATTCTCACCAGCAGTATAATTACCAACGTCAACATCGTTCACTTCCACCCTCCTCGGATAGTATGAGAAGTCCGTCGGCCCAATGAACAATAGTGGCGACTTGATCTCTGCTGGAGTTCGCCGTTCATAGAAGACGACGTCCTTGCAATTACCCAACACTTTGGGCTCAGGTGTGATCTGCACCGTCCCCTTACCCCGTGGTGCATCGACGATAGTATTCACCCCATCGGTATATACATCGTCCTGCTCCGTACTTTCGTTGGGAATGTAATGGTAGAACCTCCCTACTTGCTCCGTTCTCAGATCTTGACTACGAGGATTCATTTGGTAAGCGTAGCTCTCATTGCGTGTGTAGACGGGCGAGGTGAGTGTACTGATATGTGGTAGGTAGTACCGGAAGGAAGATCCTACCTCCAGAGTGGTATAGGCCGTGGAGAATGAGCTTTGAGTTGACGCAGTCGAATGACGCGATGAGGGGGTGCCGTAAAAGGAGGTTTCGATTATGGTGTCGAGAGCGCGGTGGGAGATGGCGCGGTGGTGGCGGTGCTCGAGGTTGATGGTCATCTTCGATATTGAAAGCAGACTGTGGTCTTGCTAACACTGCGATTTTTGGTATCTGTGCATGAGCTTATAGAGCTTATACGGGACATACTCATTGTTATGGGGTATCTTTGATATGGTTGCGCTACCATGTCAAAATGTTTGGAGAACAAAGGTGATAACAAACCCTATGGTGATGCATTGAACAAAGACAACAACATTGTGCACATGTGCCGCAATCGATCAATCTCGACGCAAGGGCTCGACCATCCACTTTTTGGCGGGAATGTGGCTATCTTGAAAAAATTGCTACTATGTTCAATAATGTAGTGCCACATTCGAGAACCAGCTCATTAGAATAAATTCACAACTGCGCCTGGCCATGACATGCTGAATTTTTTCATTCATCATGTTTTATGGACCTTAGCATGTTTTTTCGAAATGCCACCACTTCGCCACCTGAGGCTCCCAAATTCTATTCTCATGTCGTCGCATCACATCACCGACTCTCCCTAGCGCCTGCGTCCCACGGCCACACTCCATTATCCCGCACATCATGCCCAGGCGACGTTGCCGTCCTAGGGTCCTCCCCCCTCTTCCACACACAAACCTCACACATAAACCCCTCCAGCGGCCCAAACATCCACACATCCAGTCTCGCATTAAGCCTCACCCTCTCATCTACACCCCACAACACTCTCGAATGGTGCTTGATCCTCGCCCCAAATTTGATAGCTCAAGCTTTCCAAGATCAGTGTCCGCCGCTGAAGTGCTGCTTCAGCCCGGCGATGTTTGCTTCGAACAGGTTCAAGGGACGTGAGGAGGGGTTCGGGTTTTCGGATGTGGCGACGCTAGCGTTGCTTGGGGCTGAGCGAAGGAGGATTGGCGGAGTTGAGAGGGGGAGGAGTGGGATGTGAGGAAACCCAGGAGGAGTGTACATTAGACTCCTTTCGAGTTCCTGAAGCTCTGAGAGACTAAGTGAAGTGTTTGCTGGACCGGATGTGACTCCCTGTAGCTCTGCGACGGAAGGGTGGGAGGTGCCTTGACCGCGGTCTTCATATGGACCCGACGATGTCTGGTCGCGAGTGTGCGTAGAAGCTGCGTGCCTAGCTGCAGGTGAAGAGCGCACGTGTGGTGGAGGCAAACCGTGAGGCTTGGTAGAAGGTAAGGGCGAGTAAACCGGGATGTGACTGTAACCGACAGTTGGAAGCGCTCCAGGTGTAAAGTGCTCGTTGTTGGCGGTACTGTTGTTGGAGTTGGCGCTGGTCTCGTTGACATGAGAGAGGCGGCTGTCTTCCTGGTGCACTTGGTTGTGGAGTGAGGATTGCACTGGTCTTCGGCGGATTGTGTAATTTCGTGATGGTGTGTATGCAGTTGGAAGTAGTTGACTGTGAGCATTGCGTTGGTAGATAATGTTACTGGCACTACGCTGCTGATATGCTGGTGGTGGCGTAGCGTGTGTGGAAGGTGTAGGAGCAGGCCACGGATCATCATTTAGATCAGCATTCCAGGTTGCGCTATAGGATCGAGCGCGGGGTTGTTAAGCCGGTGCTACTACATGTTCGATGTCTGGTGTGCGCTCATCTCGCTGATGGAGATCCTGCTGAGGACATGATCGTTGACTCAGTCTGCGGTGTATAGATTGCTGATGGCGCAGACCAGTCTGACTGACGGCGCGTGGGCCGCATTGATCAGTACTGTGCGAACTTCCTTCTTGTACGCTGTCGTTACGTGTGTGTCGCAGGTTGCTTGACGCTGCTGTGTGATAGCCCAGCTGTAAGGTTTCTGGTACGGGAGGCACAGGAGAGAATTCTTCGACAGGTGCTCCCTCGGGCGCAAGATCAGGGAACTGTTCCCGCAGACCCGCTGTCAGAGGAGGCGCCGAGTCCCAGTCAGTAGTCAGATGAAGACCGTCTGTGATCCTAGCCCACAATGACTTCCTCCGCTCTGGCTTCAAGGGTGCAGCGTAGTCGCGATCAGCCATTAGGGGTAATGGATAACTGCGAATTCGGAGCCAGTGGTTTTGTGCAAGTGACGCGGTTGTTCTCTCAGGACGTCGAAAGGCAACGGCAGCTTTTCTGAAAGTACCCGGCAATAGGAGATGAGGAAGGGAACGAAAGAGCAAGACACCGAGAGATGAAAACCAAGATCGGGGCACTTGATAATATAGAACGCGTTCAATCTACCTACATATTCGAGAAGATGGAGCCTGGCAGCGACACAGCAAGAGCGCTGAGACCTGCCTCCTGCATCACGAGCCAGGCTGATACTCAGGAGTAATTTACATTCATACATCTGGTTCATAGCGTCGAGACTCATTTCCATGTGCTCGATGCCTCTGTCGTTTGTTATGATCCTTGGGTGCTGGTATCATGGAGGCCCGTGTGTGTGGGGCTGGTATGATGGGAGTGTGCTCAAGACAGGTTCCCTTGTGTCTCAGACAAGGGCGATGGTCGCACAACACCACATCTCTTCGCGACTCCGGGGTTTGTGGCGCATCCACTTACGCAGAAGGAATAGGAAGCGTTTCGTTGAAGGATAGGCGTGCTGGTACGAAGCCTGGCAAAATCATCGAATTGGCAGTGGTGCTGCTAGATTTCTCGTCATTGAGTCTAGCTGGTGTTGTGAACGTGGAAGCATGTCCGCTGTCGTTGTGGTTGTGAGCTTGGTATTCTTCGTCGTTATCAGACAAGTGTTCGAGTTGTCGTCCAGAAAGCTGGACAATTGTGTCACTGCTTCGGTTGTGGACGGAGGGTTGTTAGACAAACGAGTCATACGTCCGTTGACCGTCAGAGAATTGGGAATCCAGTTTCCCAGCAAAGTCCGACTATCCTCACGGCCTTGTGGTCCTTGTTGTCGTGTCGGGACCTAGCCATCCTATGTGAGTGGCTGCGCAGAGAGTTGACAGGCCCGTAGGAATCATCCGTTGTGCGATACTGGCGAGGTGCTGGGGTAGGGGTCGACAAATGATCTGGAGCTCTTACGCATCCGCTAGGGGAACGGTAGTCATCATTCGTTCGCCAGTACTTTTTAGTCACTAAGTTCGAAGTTTGTGTGGTAACGAAGGGATCCTCTACAGGAGCAGCGCGAACGACAGGCGAACTTGATCCTGAGGGCAGCGAGAGCATTGTATATGGTGTCTCGCAACTACTTCGAGGAGATGATTGCGGGGGTGTCCGAGGTGGTAATTGAGACATTTTCTGGGGTGCTCTGGCGCACAGAAGTGGTAGCGATATGGGTCCTCGGTTTGGATGTGAGCCTTGTGACCGATCATTGCGTTGACTAGCGGATTTTGACCGGAAGCACCACAGGCAGCGCATTTTGCTAAATACTGAGATGACTGCGTAGAGACGTGAGTGTACAGAAAGTGGTGAAGAAATCTGGCATGTCGCAGATATTATAAGAACTGCCAACGTGGGCAAACTTGACAGCACAAAGGAGCTGAAGGGACGCGTGTAGACTTGCAGAATGTGACAGTATATTCCAGCGCTATGCAAACACCAAGTGTAAGCGTCGTGGAGACGCTTTTGACCATAGTAACGCCAGGATGCGGGACGTTTTGCATCCTCATGCAACCATACAAAGTAGACAAAATACGACAAAGGGTAGGAATCGAAGTATGTGAACAACTCTCGCGAGTCGCAGATCGCCAGTACATTCTTACATATCGTGTCCTTCGTGTCGTCAAATTCAGCGACGGCTCTTCAAGCCTGCACGACCGATCGTAGACCTCTTGGCTGGTTTCGACTCTTCCTCGCTCGAGACACCCTCGCCGTCATTCAGGTCGTCGCTCATGGGCTCAGACATATCGTCGCCCGCATCATCGTCGGTCTCCTCAGCCTCGTCGTCGATGAGATCCTCAGAGTCCTCGCTGCCCTCATCTGACTCTTCATCGACCTCCATTGTTGTGGGCATCTCGTCGTCTGAGCTCTCCTCGTCATCGTCGACGTCTCGTATCCTCTTTCGTGTGCTGTCGTGTGCATCGTCCTCCTCATCCACGGAAGACTCGTAGTCATCCTCACCCTCAACGTAGATGACTGCCTCGTCTTCATCGTCACCGGTAGCCTTCTTCTGATTTCTTCTTCTTAGCTCAAGCTGGGCTTGTAGCATATCCAGACGGCCCTTAAGCGACAGCAGAGGCTGCAGTCCACTGGCACGCTCCTTCAGCACTTTGTTCAATGTTGCAAGCTGTCTGACCAGCTGGGGCTGGCTTGCAAGGTAACCACCGTGTGCGGCAAGTGACCACTGCACCCAGACCATGAGCACACCTGCACGCCCAGGCTTCTTGTGTAGGCGTTCAGCGAGCTTCTGAAGCAGGTTGCCAACCAACGGCGATGGCAGACGCTCGACCGTGGCGTAGATGGTGTCGATGTCGATCACGCGCAGACATGACTCGAGGAGCTCCTGGTCGTTTGTGCGTAGAGCTTGGGTGAGGACTGTCCCGAGGGACGAGGCTGAGGGTGCGGACAGCGGGCGGTTGGCTGATGCAGTTGCCAATGCTCTTGAATCGTTCGCGCCGAATGTGGTCTCAACGTCGACAATACGCGACTCCTGTACTGGCTCTGGCTCTTGTGCGCGCAGTCTGTCGCCGAACGAGAGTTCCTCTGGGTCTACGGCCTCGTCGTCCATTGGGCGGTCCTCCTCGTCTCCCTCGCCATTGACAGCAGGTGCTGCATCGTCCTTCTCATCATCTGAGCTGGAATAGTGGCTCTCCTCGTCTGCACTGCTGATCTCGATCACGTCTTTTCCAGCATCCTCCATATCGACGTCACCATGACCGGACTGGCCTCCGCCCACAACGGTAGCAGACTCGTCGACTTTTGTATTGCGCGCATTCTTAGCACTGTTTAATTTTGCTGTTGGCTTTGCTGCACCACCATTGAGGAGTGACTTGAGACCGTTTTGGCGGATTGCTGCAGGCGACTGGGCAAGCTTCGCTTTTTTGGCAGGCGGTGCTGTGTCGCGGCCGGCCTTTGATGCCTTGGGTGTGCGAGAAGAAACGGCGGCGGGCATGTTGGCGATTCCGTGCAGTGGTACACGGCGAGGCTGCAGTGTTCGAGGTTTGTTGTCGCTGCCTGAAGCAGAGCGCAAGATGGGTGCAGCCGAAAAAAAATCTATGGTGGAGCAGCCGTGCATGGGCCAGGCGACAGGGATGGGGGTGCTGCGGTGAAGAACGGTCCTCAGAGCCGCGGTACCATCATATTGCGTCTGTTTCTATCAATTTTTGATGCATACACTGCAGGAAGATGTCCTCGAGATGCTGATGCCGTCGAAAAAAAGTGCAGCGCAAAGGCGAGGTCAAGTTTAGTGGTGCAGTGGTTTGGGCAGTCGCAACACAGTGACGCGATGGGTTTAGCGCCAGCTCAGGGGGAAGGCACGCCTTGGCGCGCATCGGCAGGTCGGAGTTGTATTAAACAGAGGGCCGCCCATCTCAGTATCTTCGTTCTTGTTGCTGAAGTCCTTCCCGATCTGCCTCCAATCAACGCGCGCGTCCTCCGAACAACCGCCCACGACTCGCGCTCGACCAACCACCATCAGTGCATCGCCGTCAGGCCTAGTGCGCGACCGGGAGCCCAGGCCCTTGCGCTGCAGGAATCATCAGTCGCGATAAATTATTGTCGCGTCCACCAGCTGCTACAGCTCGCTAGCGTCACTGCTTGGCGCCTGTGCTCAACCTCCATCGCCATCCGTGCGCCTATCGCGGACTGTCTCTGTGTTGTTGTTGCACCTATGCCAGAGGGCGCACAGCTGCACGGAGCCTTCACTGCATCTCTGAACGCGCCGCGCTGCACAACAAACCCGTCGTCGCCTTCACGCTGTCCGCGCATAAGAGTCTGACTCACTACCGTGCGCAGCTCCTTTGACCTCGCCGCCGCCCCCCGGTAAGTCACGTGCACCTAGAGGTCGTTTCAGCCTCCGTAACATATATTCTCCCTGCAGCCCCTCTTACCTTGTTTGCATTGCTTTTGCGACTCGAGCCACACATCAACCCACCCCACCCTACCATCGCGACGCGCACAGTACAGCACCCCGTTGACTCGTCCCTCCGTCATCAATACGCGTCGATCATCAGAAAAGTCGCGTGCGCATCAACTGCAGCTTACTAATAATTCCAGCCCGCGGCACTCATCGACTCCGACTTTCTGCTTAGCGCGCGCAAACACGATCAACTCGTTCATGGCCCTATGGCAGTAATGACATCACCCACCTTCGATAAGTCTACCCTTGATCTCAAGGCAGACGCGCTTGCGCCGGCGGACGCAATGGCAATCGACACGGAGCCTAATGGGTGAGTGCAACTTTACCTTACAAGCGCCTCACTGCGCAGGCATTTTTCTAATTGCTTCAGCGTCCACGATGATCTCTTCGATGAGCCCGTCAATGGCACCGACGCCAACGCGACCGAGGAATCGAAACCTACCACCAACGGCAACCACACAGCTTCAGACGTACCAGCGCCTGCCGTAGAACCTGCCGTTCAGCCCGTTACAGATGTCTCCAGTAGCATCGATGGTATTGCACAGTTTGTGTCTGATCAAACAGACAACAACTCGCTGTTTGGTGACGATCTTGCGCAATCGGTAACAGAGGCCACCGAAGCGCCAATCTCAGACGTTCGCGACGAGCCTGCACCAGCACCACCAGCAAATCCCGCGCCAGTCGAGACACAGATCGCAACTTCAATCGAACCAGCTTCTGCAGACGCAATGGACACCACCGCCGATGCGCCTGAAGACTCGAAGTCTGCGCCGCCCACCAAGCCGATGAAGGAGCTTTCCATCCAACCAGAGTCAACAACACCTGCGAAAGTAGAAGCGTCAGCTCATCGAGAGATGGAGGATGCGCCGCAGTCTGGAAAGGTGCGCCCGCGAGAAGACTTTGAAGAGGACAATGAGAGCAGCGGGCCAGAAGCGAAGCGCACCAAGACTGAGGAGGCATCGAGCTCGCAGGTGGACATCAAGTCTGGACTGCCGGCGCAGCTGGTACAGACAAACGGTTCCAGCACACTACGAGGCGACGGTACAGCTACACCTAGGGGCATAGCTACAGTGATCTCGTCGGAACCGTCAGGTGTCCATCGTGCGGCCGACTACGAGGCATGGCCGACCACACCCATGACCCAGGCGCAGAACAAATTCTTGCTCGAGCGTATAAGAAACACGAAAAAGATTAAGGTCTCGTTGGCATTCAAGGATCCTGTGGACCACATTGCGCTCAACATCCCCACTTACCCTACCATCGTAACGAAACCGATGGATTTGTCGACAATGGAGAGCAAACTGAAGGAGAACAAGTATACTTACATTAAGAACTTTATGGAAGACCTCGACCAGATGATCGAAAACAGCGAGTTGTTCAACAACAAGCAGCACCCAGTCACGCAGGCTGGCTACAACCTACGAGCATACTTCCTTAAGGGTATGAGCAAGATGCCAAGGGGAGCAGTAGACGAGCCGCAGAAACCGGCCAAGGCCAAGAAGCCATCAGTGAGCATGGCGCCAAAGGCAGCAAGACGCGAGTCGAGGCCGGCACCACCTACCGTGAAGTCACCGGCTGCAGCTGCGGCAGCATCTCCTCCAGCCGCATGGCCTCTAGGACAGGATGGCATGCCTTTGATCAGGCGCGACTCCACTAGTGCAAATGATCGGCCTAAGCGAGAGATCCATCGGCCTTCGAAGGATTTGCCGTATGCGAACGCCAAGCCTCGCAAGAAGAAGTACCAGCAGGAGCTGAAGTTTTGCGAGAGCATCCTGACTGAGATTATGAAGCCGAAGTACCAACCCATCACATACCCCTTCGTGGTACCCGTGGATCCTGTTGCTCTGAACATTCCGTCGTACCTCAAGATCATCAAGAAGCCAATGGACTTCGGAACGATCGAGAAGAATTTCAAGAACGGCGTGTACCAGAGCGCGAAGGACTTCCACGCTGACTGCATGCTTGTATTCCAGAACTGCTACAAGTTCAACCCTGAAGGTGACGCGGTGAACGCGATGGGCCACCAGATGGAGGACTTGTTCAACAGTCTCTGGAAAGAGAAAGCCGACTGGCTGGCACAGCATGCACCTGCTCCTGAACAGTCTCCCGAAGTCTACTCCGACGAGGAAGACGAGGAGGAGGATGAGGAGGATGAGGAGGTCGATGCTGCGCAAGCACAGTTCCTTGCCATCCAGCAACAGATCGCAGCTCTCAACGAGACAGCGCAACAGTTGCTTAATGCTCAGAAGGGCGGCAAGCGTGCATCGCCAAAGGCGCCGAACAAGAAGAAGGCTAAGGCGCCGGCACCAGTGAAGAAGAAGACCGTTCCTCTTGCGGTGCCACCACCAGTGAAGGCCGGTAAGCCAAAGGCGAAGGTCAAGCCACCACAACCTTTGAGCTTCGCCCAGAAGCAGGACATCTCCGAGGGTATCAGCACTCTTGGTGACGCTGATATGAGGAAGGCGGTCCAGATCATCAGGAATGGCTGCCCACACCTCGCTAACGTGCATGATGACGAGATGGAACTCGACATGGACGAGATCAATGACGAGACTCTGCGCGAGCTGCTCAAGTTTATCAAGTCGCTCCGTGGCCCTAAGGGAGGCGCGTCGGTCGCTGATGATGACTTCGAGCCGCCACGGCCGGTGCACAAGCAGACCACCGCCAGCAGGCCGAAGAAGAACAAGCCCATGGGCAAGACTGAGCAAGAGGACAACATGCGCAAGATCCAAGAGAAGCTGCAGTCGTTCCAGGGCGGCGCTTCGGGTAGCAGCCAGTCTCCACCTGGTATGTTGTTAGTGCGTGATCTTGATGATGCAGTACTGACCGATGCAGCCCATGAAGAGGAGAGCAGCGACGATGACAGCGGCTCCGAGAGCGAAGAGGAGTAGTCGCTCGCTACCCCTTTGTGCGATATGCCTGGGATCCTTGCTCTTACATCCCCGCATCTGACAGCGTTCTCGTTCCAACATTCTTCTTGGCCAAGCAAGCGATGCCGTTCGTGCAACATGATCCGTCTCTTCTCCCACCATTTCTCGACTTTGCCCTCAAGAATCCTTTCTCTTGACAAACTAGCATCAAGCCAGTCATGAAGGTTGCGCAAACCCTCCATCCTTCATGATTGACCACCCCTACACAACACAACACACATCCCTTGTACAGTATCCTTCCCCACCCGCAACAGCGGCGTAAGAAACAAAAGGGCGTCTTCGCCGCCGACGACGTTATGAGTGTGACGAGGCTTGTCGTTTTGGATGCTTCGGTTCAGCGGAGGACGATGATCGACAACTTTGGCCAGGACTTGGCAGCTTGGAGGACAGGGTGGTCGAGGATCAGTGTACGAATATACTTCGAGTAGACGTTCGAGAAAATACCAGCAGTATCTTGAACAGGTCTTTTTGTCCCTTGTGCGTCGTGTGATCGTCGTGGTGCTGTGTGTGCGGTGGGCGGCGGTGTGGACCCTGGACGTCGAGTCGACTCGAGCGGCCATGTTTGGTGGTTCTTCCAATACTAGCTCTTGTGTTTTGGGTACAGTCGTGCGTACACAGGTCGTGAGTTCATCGTGATGTGGTTTTGGTGTCGTCGTGATGTGGTTTTGGTGTCGTCGTGTGCGCTGCCGTGCTGTGGGCATTATTGTGAAGGGGCACAATAATGGGCGGCCGCTGCACGCCGGAACAGTGCCTCAAGACAGCGGAAGCGGATAATTGCCTGTACCAACGTCAGCCACAGCCTTGCCATGGTACATGCGCAGTACGATGCCGCGTACTTACCGCCGTGTTGTTGCTGCTCACTGCTCTTGCTCCTGCAGCGAGCCCTTGGTACGACGCCGGCACAAGGGGGAAATGAGGCGAACACAACGACGCAGAGGGTCAAAAATGAAGAGACCGAGGTGTACGGCTAGAATGGCTCATGCGATGCAGACCCGCATGATCGTGTACTGTGAGAACGCAGTCCCTTCCCACGACACGTGTGAGCGTTGTTCCTGCGCAGATGCAGACAGGCAGAGTGGGGATATCGAGCGGGTGACCGGCGCCCCCTTCAGCGGGCCTGTGAGCGGCAGCGCAGCCCTGTTGCCGCGCTTTGGCTGGCGCTAGTTCGCCGCGAACTTCAACTTTCGAAGCTTCAACACCAACGCCAACCACAGGCGCCGACTGTTCACCCACCTCCACCGCCAAGCCTATCGCCTTCAGTTGCACGCATTCAAATCTGTCACCCTGGTCTCCTTAACTGCTGTGCACCAAGGCAAGCCCCACAACAGCCATCATGGCGACAGTCCCGGTCAGCGAGGTCAAGAGCAACGCGCGCGAGAGCAGAACAGCTGCGCATTCACACATCAAGGGCCTCGGCCTGTCCAGCGATGGTCGCGCAACACCTTCAGCTGGCGGCTTCATTGGCCAAGCTGCAGCGCGAGAGGTACGTCGGGTCATCTACAATCTTCACAATGTGGCACTTGTGGCATATCCCAGACAGCATGAGGCTGACATGTCCAGGCTTGCGGTCTCGTCGTCGACCTCGTCAAAGCAAAGAAGATGTCCGGCCGCGCAGTCCTTCTCGCCGGCGGGCCAGGCACAGGAAAGACCGCCCTCGCCCTCGCCGTCTCGCAAGAACTCGGGACCAAAGTGCCCTTCTGCCCCATCGTTGGCAGCGAAATCTACTCGGCCGAAGTCAAGAAGACCGAGGCGCTGATGGAGAACTTCCGCCGCGCAATCGGCCTGCGCGTCAAGGAGACAAAAGAAGTCTACGAGGGCGAGGTCACAGAACTCACACCTGAAGAAGCAGAGAACCCTCTGGGTGGTTATGGGCGTACAATCTCCCACCTCCTCATCACCCTCAAGAGCGCAAAGGGCACCAAGAAACTGCGCCTCGACCCCAGCATATACGAAGCCATCCAGAAAGAGCGCGTCCGCCTTGGCGACGTCATCTACATCGAAGCCAACACGGGCGCCGTCAAGCGCGTGGGCCGCTCCGACGCGTACGCGACCGAGTTCGACCTCGAGGCCGAGGAGTACGTGCCGATTCCCAAGGGCGACGTGCACAAGAAGAAGGAGATTGTGCAGGATGTCACGCTGCATGATCTGGATGTTGCGAACGCGAGACCGCAGGGTGGACAGGATATTATGAGTATGATGGGCCAGCTGATGAAGCCGAAAAAGACGGAGATTACGGAGAAGTTGAGGCTGGAGATTAATAAGGTTGTGAATCGGTATATTGATCAGGGTGTTGCGGATCTGGTGCCGGGTGTGCTCTTCATCGACGAGGTAAGCCCCTTAAGCAAAGTACAGCGCGGTCATCGGAGAAGCTTCATACTAACACGGTGTCTGCAGGTCCACATGCTCGACCTCGAATCCTTCACCTTCCTCAACCGCGCCCTCGAGTCCCCCCTCTCCCCCCTCGTAATCCTCGCCTCCAACCGCGGTCTGACCCACATCCGCGGCGGCACCAACCTTCCCCCATCCGCGCACGGCATCCCGCCCGATCTGCTCGCCCGCCTGCTCATCGTGCCCACGCACCCCTACAACGCCGCCGAGATCAAGCAGATCATCAGCCTAAGGGTCGGTACGGAGAAACTGGTCATTGCGGATGCGGCGAAGGATAAGGTGACGGAGTTGGGTGTGAGGGTGAGTTTGAGGTATGCGTTGCAGATTCTGGCGCCGGCGAGTGTGCTTGCAAAAGTTGGTGGACGGCAGAACGGGGAGATTGGGTTGCAGGATGTCGAAGAGTGCGAGGGCTTATTCTTGGACGCAGGGAGAAGCGCCAAGGGCTTGGGTGAGGCCGACGGCTACATTGCATGAAAGTCGTAAGGGGTACCCAATGGACAAGTGCGATTTGGCGTTCAAGAGGGTCATGTCATGAGACACAAGAAGAATATGTATAGTACGTAGTAGGAGAGCGGTGCCTGAATAATCACAGAAGCAAGTTCAGACTAAATGTTCAGCCTCAGCTTCTGAGCTTCCGGCTATAATCATTTCCTGCAAACTCGTGATCTCCAGACTGCCTGACAAGACATGGACTGAGTTGTCCGAAGCCCTGGATCTGTATTACAACGCCATGTTCACAATTACCAGATCTGACCTCGGTATCAAAAGGAAGATTTTGAGGCTCGATGCTTGTCCAGAGTCGACGAGATTAAGCTCCGTTGCCACCCGAACTCACCGATTGGCCGTGCACATCAAGTAGCCGACCGAGGTGCTTGCCTGATCATCAAAGTCTCGAGCCTCAGCTTTCTTTCGCCTTCCGATTCCTACAAGCCAGCACACACATACTGTGCCAAAAACCACACAAGCAATCTCTGCACACTGCAGCACACATATCACACTTTCACCCATTGTCGCTCTCACACACACGTGACAATGCTACGCACCGCCACCCAGCTCCCGCGCCAGCTCTCCCGCCGCGTCGCCGCCTTCAGCACGAGCGCATCGCACAAGTCCTCACCATTCGGCGGCCCCAGCCCACCTCGTCTACCCAAGGAGGAACAAGAACTCTTCGAAAAACTACAAAAGCAATCCACCGGCGCATTCTCGCAGCCCAAGCCCGACCCTGAGCCTACATCACAGCCGAGTATCCGCATGAAGATCAACCAGTCCCCCGACTCCACCTCAGAGCCCGAAATCCGTTTCGAAAATGGCAAGGAGATTAAGAAGGGCGAAGAATTCCACCCGAATATGCGCCGCGGCGCACCGCCAGAGTTCGAAGGCGATGTGAATCCGAAGACGGGCGAGGTTGGGGGGCCGAAGAATGAGCCGCTTAGATGGGGGAGTGGGGAGGGGAGGGGGGATTGGAGTTATAATGGGAGGGTTACTGATTTCTAGGTTTTGCGCGGAAAAGTTGGGGTGGAGGAGGGGGAGAAGGCATATGTATGAGAAGAGGGTGAGGTGAATGGTTTGTGAATTGGTGACTGGGTGACTCCGATATACACGATGTTGTACGATATACTAGGAGCAGAAGTAGGTATCGTTGCTCCACCAGAATAAAACGAAGACACAGATTACACGCAATACTATGTTTTTGCCTGCCAGCCAGCAAGCGTGGTTGACTGCTAGGGGAAGAAAGTATGTGTGCGCTCGTACGCTGCATTCTTACCTGTGCTCGTGAGGTTGCTTGTGACTAGAGCATCCGGAGGTCGACGTTCGGCTGGAAGCTTGGACGCAGTAACTGGTGGTAGACATGATGGCATGGGGCCATTGTATATAGTGTTGTGTGAAATGAATAAGCAGGTACATTACTGAAAGTAGCGTGACCAAGATTGTTTCAGAGAATTTTACAAGAGTTCTGTGATCTGGCTACTCCATCGAGCTCCCATGCCGATCCTAGGAGAATCAATGGTTCCTAGACATTCATCTCCAGAAAATAAGGCGAACGCATCTGGGAAAGCAAAGTTATTGCAAAGGGGCCAGTCATGGTACGCTTGCATGCTGCCCATTTCCATGCATAGTGTGCGCAACCAGTGAAGCCTTGCAGCTGCATACGAAGAGGATCTATATGCTCATGTGATGCTCATGTGATGCTCTTTGTAAGTGTTCAGGCGTGCTGGTCCATTAGCCCTGCTCATCGACACACCATGCAGCGGAAGAGTCTAGAATCTCGCGGCCTATCCTGCATTTCCTCATTCGGAAGGGAGACAAGGTGAGACTGGTGGAACTTCTGCACGTGGTGGCTTGTGGCTTGCCGCATGCCAGCATCTTTGGAACCGAGGTGTGACTGTTGGACTTTCACCGGCGTCCGCGCGCAACGCTTCTCGTATTGCGGAAGAACGGCATCAAGTTGCAACAAGGTGAATGGTTACGAAAAGTCACAGCATCGTCAGGCCGCTTGGAGTTTGGAAGAAGCAACAACCTACGCTGTGCTCGGGCCAGATTTGATGACAATGCAGGACACGAGTTGATTTGATTTGGCGGGGCGCTTGTGCAGCACGTTTCGATGAGGCGGAATTGCGAATGCGCTTGTCTTGACGACAGACAGCCTCTCCGGCACATGTCTCGCCTTACAATTCTTCCAGAAGGCTGTCAAACTCTGTGCCAGGCAGAGAAACAGTTGTCGAACCCCAACGTAAGAGATGAAAACAGGCAACTCAGGCACCAGCGTCACAGGATTGGTACAACAGCTGCGTGCAGTTTCAAGCGGGCGATCCGTCATCCAAGAATGGGTGATCTCCAGGGCCCACCCTTGGCCGCACCCTCGAGCTCCAAGCTCCAAGCTCCAAGCTCCAAGCTCCAAGCACGTCCGCTATCGAGAACTTGACCTCATCGTGTGTCGCCGAGCTCCACAGAACCACCGCACGTCAACATGACTGTCAGCCGTCGTCGCAATCACACTGCAACCACAGCAATTCTCATCTTGCGTCGTTGTGATCGCGGAGTTCCCGGGGAGGCGCAGCGAAGGTGCAATGCAGTTCTCGGGCGCCTGACACGTCCGCGTCAGGGGTCGAGACCAGCGAATCGTATTTGGCGGCGGTCCGGTTTGAGCATGCATGCACGGTAAGGGTCTGGATTTGTGAATGCTCCAGGGAGCGTAGGATGCGACAACGTGAACTGTGGCTGACGCCTACTGCAATGTGAGTTGATTTAAAATGTGAATCCCCCGCGACCCGCAAATGTCAAGGCTGTCATACTTTTGAGTTGAAAAGGGGAAAGGCATTGCTCATTGAGAACATCACTTTGGTTCGTATCGCGAAACCGCCTCCGATCATCGTCATGTGCTGACTATGAGAGAGGGCCTTGGAGTAAGTGCTGGACTACGGAAATTCGGCAAGCCCAAAATGAAGTAGACACGATGCGACCGAACTTGAAGCACTCTTATACTCCTCGTTAGACCCCGTCAACCACCCGCTGCCCCTGGTTGGTGTTTCCAGATTCCGGGGTCATCTTCAATCTACGCATGCATCGATTCGGACTTCCACGACGCCCCCATAAGTTCTGCTGAGGTTGTCTTACGCCCAGAGACTAGAGGTCGTTGTCCACCGCTATCATGATCGGTGTGCTGCTGTATGTGGCTTTGCTGCTGCAGCTTGCAGCAGCTGTCAATGTGACTGTTGATCTTGGGTACGCCAGGTACAGAGGGAAAGACATCGGCAATGGCGTATATCGGTGGGCTGGCATGCGTTACGCAAGGAGCGTGTCTCGAGTCGACGGTCTGCGCTTCACCGCACCACAGGAACCTCTTGAAGAGTCCAACAAGGTAACATCAGACGCAAGTAAAGTAAGTATCAAAACACATCTCTTGTTCGTGCTAATAGTAGACAGTTTGGACCCCTCTGCATCGGCACACAAAGCGACCTCACAGCAGAGTTTGGCAGCAAATGGTCAGAGGACTGCCTCTTCGTCAACGTCTTCGCACCCTCAAAAGCCACCAACGCGAGCAATCTTCCGGTCTATGTCTTCATTCAAGGAGGTGGTTTCAACATGAACGGCAATGCAGATTACGACGGCGCCGAGCTCATTCACGCTGCAGACGGGGATATGGTGGTTGTCAACTTCAATTACCGAGTCGGGCCGTATGGATTCCTCGCCAGCAAGGAGATCGAAGCCAATCAGACTCTGAGTTTGAACAATGGATTAAAGGATCAGAGATTGTTGTTGAAGTGGGTTCACAAGTACATTCAGGAATTTGGTGGCGATGCCAACCATGTCACACTTGGTGGAGCCAGTGCTGGAGGTGGCTCGGTTGTCTTACAACTCACAGCTTTTGGTGGACGCAACGACAACCTCTTCCACGCTGTTGCCGCCGAGTCAGCTGCTTTCCCACCTCTGCGCAATGTTAACCAAAGCCAGTGGCAGTATGATGCCCTACTCCAGCGGTCGGGGTGTCAGGATCTTGCCTGCCTAAGCTCAATCGACACTGTGACCTTTCAGAACGCCGTTCGCAGTCTCAAGATCCCCTTCCCCGGCGGCAAGAACGCTCCGATCTACTTCTGGAATCCGACCTTGGACTACGACTTCATCCAGGACTACACTTACAACGAACTCAAACACGACCGCTACGTCAAAGTCCCCACCATTTTCGGCGACTCTACCAACGAAGGCATCAACTTCACGCCAAAATCCATCACCAACTTCGATCGCGCCCGCCAATTCATCATCGACCAATTCCCCGCCGCAAACTGGGTCAAGATCAGAAGCGTATGGGACAACCCCATGAACGCCATCGCCGATGCTCGCTGGCGCGCCCTCGCCTCAGACGTCTACGGTCACATCCGCTACAACTGCCCCAACCTGAACATGTCCTCCGCCTACGCCGAAAACAACACGCACCCCACCTATCAGTACCGGTGGAATGTCGGCACGGCCTCGCACGTGGGTGAGCTACCGTCGATCTGGGGCAATGGGACAACCGCATCTGCTGTCTTTATGCAAGCGTACTGGGCGAGTTTTATTAGGAGCTATGATCCTAATAAATACACGGCGGAGTTTTTGGTGAGTAAGGGGAAAGAGATGGATAATCCTGAGTGGACGACGTTTGGGAATGAGACGGGGGAGTTGGGCAACAGACTGAGGTTTGGTGATGATAATCAGGTTGCTATGGAGCAGGTTGGTACCGAGGAATGGAAGAGATGCAGTGTCATTTCGAATATGGGGTTGCATTTGGAACAGTAAGTCTTCTCTCTCAATCATCCCCTCTAAACTGCAAAGACAGCGCGCCCGAGCCGTCGATGCATTCCTCGCGTGTCTTGGCGAATTGTCCGATTTCATCGCATTCTTGGGAGCAAGAGCGTTGCCACAGAGCCGCATTCTCGTGGCATGCTTGCTGACGAATTATTAGACCTGCCAGTGCTGGATTACGCGTCCCGCCCCTTACTTCGTCGCTTTACCTTACGTTCGGTATCATACTCTTCGGTCTCTCACAGTGGCATTGCTTCTGAACGTAGTGCATCTAGGAACTAAACGATAATGGCTTCGCAGCCGGACATCATAAATTGGTTCTTTTGTGCTTCGAGACCATCGAAGGCATTCGAGGCACAATGCCTTTAGAGGATCACATGGGGATTTCGACCACGCGGATGGCGATTCAGTGAAGGACTTGCGATAACGCTGGCCAGGGTCAGGTTAAGGCACCGAGACTACTGGCACTAAGTCGGCCACGAAAATGGCCTCAACTTCAGGGTCTATCTTGACGCTCAAACGATTACACCAGCGACGTTATAAACCCGTGCTGGACTACCATCGTACATTTAAATAGCTAAATGCAGCCTCCCGCAGCATGATAGCCCCCGCCACTACCCAGACTCAAATCTCTCAGAGCAGCCGAACGCTCGTTGGGACGAAGAAACCCAGGGCCGTCTCAACGGCGTTTGAACCGGTGGATGGTTCATTGAATCTATACATCCAAGGACCATTGGCTCACGCTAAAGTGGAAGAGCTGGCTACATCAGAATTGGAAGCACATTCCCTGCCTGTTTCCTGATTCGCGCCCCAACCATGCGCAAGGGCCGCGTGTGTCTCTCCCAACCGGCTTGCTGAAGACTGAACAGTAAGTCCTGCTATAGCGAAATGGGTTCTTGAGCTCGGCGTCTGCAGGTACAGTGTGAAGCTTCGATCTAATGACCTTGAGACAGTCTTCAGTCCTGGCTTGAAAATGCGCGTACGCATGCCAATTGCAACCTTATGCGCAATCTCAAGCCAGGACTGAACACTATGTCAAGATTGTTGGTAGGGGGGTTCATTGGCTATCTACAGATGTTGAGCTCAAAGATACAACGTCAAACCTTTAAAAATGAAGACATTGAGAGACTGCCTAATATCCGTGCCTTTACCTACGTAAAAGAGTATCGGAAGCAGTGTTAGATGGAACATATATATAAAAAAAAGTTTAACTCCCTATATGGAGGTTGCCTCGTTCAATGACAATATTACCTTCAAAGGTGCAACGGTACATAAATAGCCATGTATGTGGCATACTCCCATCTATCGGTACCAAGTAATGACCGGAATCCAATCTCGGGTCCCACCGCATGATGGGGTGCATTAACGTATGTCAACACCTACCCAAGCCGCATATCAAGGACCTGAAGAAACTCATCTTTGTTCACATAGTATCTGGCCTCATCAGTCACAGGAAGGGTCGGGGACTTCTCAAAGTCACAGTTTGGACTTCTCTACCAATCAAGGATCATTGGCGTGAGCACCGAGGTAGATGGCGAACTCTTCGAGACTCATATCGCCGGTCCCCCCGGTGTTCGCAAGTCTGAACATCTCCGCATCCGCCACCTCAGCATCTCCCTCTTCCTCTTCCTCTCCGTTCAGATCAATAGCCAGAAGCTCCCTGGAGGTTCGGCACACGGCCACACCGGATCAGCAAAGTACTTCAAAAGCCGGCATGTAGCGTGCCTTTTCCGTTCACACTATCGCAGTTGCGGCAGAAAACATAGCATCTACCCTGGCCGCAGCACTGGATGGGGCCGTGGTGAAGTCCGTCGGCACATTGCCAGCGGTTGCATATTTCTGCGTCGGGGCGATTGGGACGGGGGAAGGGGGACCAGGACTTGCATTCGCCTTGGCCGCAGCATTTTGCAAGGACTGGAGCGGTGGATGATGCCATTGATAGAGCCGTCAAGAGGATGTGGAAAGTGCGCATGGTGGGAGAAATTGGAGATGGTGGACAGCGGAGTACGAAGTGGAAATTGAAATGTGGTCTCTAATATTCACTGCACAGACTATCCGACTTAATAAGCAAAACATAGTGTGGGTGCTACTGTTGATCTGTGGTAGTAGTACTTGAGCGCAGAGTCCGATAGGACTTGAGCGGTCTGAAGATCAGTTCAGCTACACGGTCACGAAGCTGAAAAGCTGATCACCGCTTCTCGCGCACATCCGCTTCAGCTCGATCTCGTGCCAATCATACTTCTCATCGACATGCCACAGTCAATACGCTCAAGAGACTAAACACAACTCAGGGATCGAGATTTTATGATCTCCAGCTAACGATACATGCTAATCTGTCGAAAGAGAGACAGAAAAACCAAGGACATGTCCAGCGCCGGCAACCACCCAAAAGACCACCAAACTATGCTGAAATGCGCCCATGCTCGCTAAAGTTGAGGAGGAGAAGAGAAACAAGAGAAGCAAAAGAAACACGGCGCATCATTCGCCGTCACTACACCTGACAAAGATCGTAATCAAGAAGCCACTGGCCATCCAAGCCACAGATAGGGAAAGCACGAGAAGGGAATAGGAAACAGGGCGATTAAGCACCGCCGATGACGCCGACAGCCCTCCAAGTCTCCATCTTGCCCCTCCCGACAGGAGTTTGATCGCGAATCGCTTGAGCAGGGATGCGGTACATGACCAGATACTCGCCCCAATGCAGGCATTCATCCTTCGCACCACTCGCGTCCTATCAAATCATCAGCACACACTCCCCAACAAGAGTTCACAACATCAAACATACCTTCAGAAGATCGGCAGCACGGAACACCGGCCCCCTAGCAAAATGTCGCGTATCCACCGTCACAACAAGCACCTCCTCACCCCACTTGTCCGCCCAGTGCTTCGCCACATTTTCCGCGTGAGGCAAGCTGTCGTATACGCTGATGAACGGCGAGCTGATGTTGGTTTGCTGGTACAGGTGTGCGAGACCGAAGCGAGATAGGGCCGAAGTGTAGTTGAGGATCGTAGTCTGGTTCTTTGCGCTGAAGCCGGTGGAGAAGGAGTAGTGCGTTTGCGCGGAGGCGCGGTGGATGCGGTAGACCAGGGGTGGAATTGTGATTGGTGAGCTGGAGGGAGATGGGGGAAGCTGGGTTGCGGGTTGGGTGAAGAGGACTGGGTGTTTTAGATGAGTGTTAGGAAAGGAAGAGGGAGAAGGGAGGCTTACCGGCCATAGTGGTAGTGGAAGGGAAAGTAAAAGTTGGTGGGCTTGGTATTGCTGGTTGTCGCGTGCGAAGACAGTGACAAGCGATACGGGGATAGGTTGAGCAGCAGGGTGGAAGTGACTACAATATAGGTTGTGTAAGGGCTAAACAGAACACGGTGATTGAGAAAAGTTTCAGGATGGCGATGATTATCATGATAATTCTGGATCCAGAGCTGAGGCACTCACTTTATACCTACCATCGAAGAGCAACAGTAGCCTCTGAAGCTCGAAGCAGGCTCTATGTCTTCGCGCCAGAACCTGCTACGGCCATGTCGATTCCCTTTCCCGTCCCGAGATGAACGTCCCAGTTAGTGATCTCTACCCGTCCGCTCGACTGTAGTAGCAATGGGCAAACACTGCTTGCCGGTATTCGATAGATCGCATATAAAGAAAGTGGAGGCCTGATTTGCAGGCATCCTATGTCACCTGTTTCCGTGACCAACCGGGTCCTTGGGTCGCGGAAGCCTAAAACCCTGTTTCGAGGATACTCGTTTTAGAACCGCCCCTGTCTGGTGTTACACAAGCTGACTGCCGTCCGGGGTAGCGCTCCACTAATACCCGTCTGGCGTGCAGACCGCACCAAGTCGAGGTGTGGTAATAGCATATGTGCACCACTGCGCCGTTGTATTGGTATGCTGAGGCGAAGCCATGGATGCTGAGATGTGAGAGACGCGCAAAGCATGCATGTTGCGTGCATGTGTGCATTGCATGAGAACCTCTACACGCATAAGGATTGCATATTATAGTGTGACGATGGGGTTGTTACCGAATGGACTGGCCTAAGCTGCGAAGATCAGGATCAGCATGTGAAGCAGTAAGTGAGTGATTAGTATCGTGCAGTTCAGCCTGTTGAGAAGCGTTTGAAGGGTACTGCCGTCAACCGTCGAAACAATAGTCGCTTTCGGCAGCACACATCGCATTTCGATGCGGCCAGATTTGACAAGTAGGCTTCTCACGTCCGTGTCACCGTCGGTCTTGTTATTGGCGAGACTGAGTGATGTCGCACATACAAACGGGCGCACGCTCTGAGATGGACTCCAGATAGCATCCCATTGGTGGAGCACGCATCATCGCCTCGGTAGTAGACTTAACATGCTCGGTGCCTCCCGAGTAAACGAGGAAGCAGACCTGAGTCTGCCCACGCAGCTCCATATCGCGGTAGGCTTGCAAGCAGAAGGGTACGCGCATACAGGAGCTTGTTTGTCCAAGGCTACCGAGATCCGTGGACAAAGTAGCGGTGAGCGGCGCTGTTGACAGCTGTCATTGCGAAGGTGCACACAGGAGATATTGAGGTGAGGTTGAGTTGAGGAATAGGTAAGGTGTGAAGGCTGCGAGCACGTGAACCGCGTCGAGCCACTAGTTTAGTCTGGGAAAGCGCGACTTCCGACCTCGACGTCGAAAAAGTCAACGACAGCGGGAACGAGGCGCAACCACAACAGAAGACCGCAACACCTCGAATAGTGCGTCAATTTCTTTGCGGTGACTCTGCGGCTCATAGTCTGACGGAACAACAGCTTATACGCTTGCTCGAAGCCGCATAAACATCCCCTACCTCGATTGACCATCCTCAATACCATCATTCGATCTATCGTAAACTCGCCAAACACCCGAGGCCTTCACCTACAACCGCACATCATGTCGTACTTCCGGATAACACTCATGCGCTCGGGCATCGGTATGCCCCAGAAGACACAGGGCGTCCTCAAAGCCCTCGGTCTCAAGAAGCGCATGACTACCGTCTACCACCCTGTCACACAATCCGTCGCCGGTCAGATCATGCGGATAAAGGAGCTTGTCGATGTCAAGGAGGTCAAGCGCGCGTTGACACCCGCTGAGCAGAAGGCTGCGAGGCGGCCGGCGCCGGGGTATTATGTTGAGAGCAGGGCCGCGCAGGCTATGAAGGATTGGGAATAAATGGATAGACGCCGATTGCTGTGCTGGAAATAGTGAAGGTCCGTGGATCATAAGGACATACTGTATGCATATATGGCGTTATGGGGATTTGTACAGAATGTACCAACAGTAGGGCGAATGGAAGTGCCAATCATACTTCATCAACCTTGTTCCCTCTATCAGCATTTCGTTGATCATTTCGCAGACTTGAGGGTTGAAAGACTCACAGGCAAGCCAAAGCAGTATCGCAGTCAGCCTTGCATGCAGCTATTAACGCTCTGACTAATCACGCGTAGCCAAAAGCCGCCAGCGCAGCCACACTTTGGCTGAGATCATGGGTTTTGCACCCACACAGCTCTCAACTTCTTGCATACTCAGGATTTACTGTGGTTTGAAACACATCGCTGAGGAACAATGCTCGAGCGGCCTACCAACAAGTCGGTCTGCACCATGGTCTACAACAGTATCAGTCAACTGTTGTCAAGGCCATGGTTCCATCGTATATGGGTGTTTCAGGAAGTACTTTTGTCCCCACGATACAAGTACCATGACCTGGCAATAACGATATGAGCAGGGAGCGCGCACATGCCATGGCATGCTTGGGCGCTATTGACTCGACTAAGCTTTGAATCGCCCTGCGTTAAGGGCTACGAAAGAGAATCTCTGACCTGCTTCAATGGTACCAGGTTCAAAGCATCGATGATGAAAGGTCAAGCTCACTATACGTACTACATCGACCCAACTCGCAAATTCCTAGCCAGCGATCCTTGTGATAAGCTGTTCGCACTTCTACACATTGCAACGGATACCCGTGATCGCATACAGGACGACCTTAGACTTCGACCGAATCATTGAGGGGAGCTTGGATACCATCATCTTCGACCTTGCTATGTGCGGCATCGTAGTACCCATGCTTCTTAGGACCATGTCCATCGCGACTCTGAAGGGAGGTGTGCACTTCTGGTTCAAATTACACTACCCTACAGATTTCTATGCAGAGCTGGACTTCTACGGTAAGGACCCTTTACCGTTCGCTCGAAACCAGAACCTGTCGTATGAGGGCGATGGTCGGCGCCTTTCATCGTGCAAAAAGTACCAGCTTATCGTCATACAGTACTAAGACTTAAGTCTGTTCGCGTAAGTGGACCGTGCAGCCTCATCAACGCGATCGCATCAGAGACCCCACCACTTCCATCAACCATAACTCTATCAATATGACAGATTTCAGCGCAGTTATTTCAGCCAATCGAAGGCCTAATGCTGAGCTATCTATTCGCGAACGCGATTTTGTAATGGCTGCTATAGAGGCTGGGATG